ACCCCATTTCAACTCTCCGGCACCACATGTGGTCCCTAAGCTACTCCAGAGCACAAAGCTAGGAATAGCTCCTGAGTACCACTGAGTCTGGCTATCCCTCCCGTTCAGTTTAGGTTATATATGTAATTATTGATTCTGGACTGTTCCGAGGAATTGAGGTTATTGATTGTTTCAGATTTATCAATGCAAGTATAATTTTTTAAAATTAAATCACCGTAAGTTATAAAGATAATTATTATTGAGTATCAGGCGTATGTTATTCCAGTGCCAGTCCCTTCATCAGTGCAAGGCAGACATCCTGTCTGCTGTACTATCTCTGTAGGCCCAAACCTTGTTTTCTAACACCAAGTCTAGCACTAGTTCTCTTTGTATCCTATCACAATTATTGTTTCACTTATTGCTTATAACATGACATTATACTCTTGTGATAGCCCCTATCCATAGAAAGAGTATTCAGGTTTTATTTCAATTTGTCCTTTTCTTTTTCTCCCGTGTGTGTGTGTGTGTGTGTGTGTGTGAGTGTGTATGTGTGTGTTTGTATGTGTATGTTCCTGTGGGGCTGGGGGCTGGTGGAGTCCACACGTGACTGGGCTCAGGTTACTTCTGACTCTGGCTCTATGCTCAGGGATCACTTCCAGTAGTGCCTGGGACCATATGTGGTTCCTGGGATTTGAAGAGGGGCAGCCATGGGCAAAGCAGAGCCTTCTCCCCCTTCCTCCCCCCTCCCCCCCCCCCCCCCCCCCCCCGTCCCCTTATTATCTCTCTGGCCCTGTTTTTTTCTTTTTTTTTAAAGTCACACATAGGGATGATTAGGGACTACTCCCTAAGTACTCAGGAGATCTTGAGACTTTGGGAAATGCACCCTGGCTTCATGCATATAAAATGTGCTCTAACCCTTTGAGCTATCTCCCTGACCCCTTTTCCTCTCCTCTCCTCTCTCTCTCCCTCTCCCTCTCTCTCCCCCTCTACCTCTCCCTTTCCCTCTCCTCTCTTTCTCTTTCTGGCTCCTTTTTCTAATTATTCTTCTATATCTTTTTCTTTCTCTTAAAAAGAAATCCACAACTTTGTGACTGTCAGTATTATATGTCATAATTATTATTGACCAGTTTAGTGGTTTTAGGCTGATTTTGCATTTAATCTTAGCACTACCTTACAGTACAAGGTCATTTTTATGTAATTAAAAGATTGTTTCTAGAGTCAAGGATGTGGCTCAGGGGTAGAGTACTTGCCTTGTACTACACACAAAATATTTGTTTGCAAATATCCATGTATTCTCAACTTAAAGAATATTTAAAACTTGGGGCTAGAGCAATAGCACAGCAGGTGGGGCATTTGCCTTGCACGCGACTGACCCGGGTTCGATTCCCAGCATCCCATATGGTCCCCTGAGCACTGCCAGGGGTAATTCCTGAGTGCAGAGCCCCCCCAAAAAAAACAAAGAGCTGGGAATCTTCTCTGTTGCTGCCTCTCCCCCTTTGTTCCCTGAGCTTAGAAGTGTGTGTTATAGGGCAGACTGGGTTTCAGTAAGTTCCGCTGTGGCTGTTGGAAGCCCCACCTACTTGCCAAGTCCTTTGGCTGCGAGCAAAGAGGAGGCTTGGTACTTGTCATTCCTTTGCAGCAGTTGAGCTGGAGGAATGCTGCATAGCTTGTTGAAAGTTGCTTAGAAGCTTCAAGTAGGGCGTGTAAGAGGGTGTGTATTTTGAGGGTCTTATAGTCAGTGTGGAAGATGTGGGATCCTTCCTGGTGTCATCATCAGGCAGTGTATATATACTGAAGTGTCTCCTTATGACTAATATAAGGATGGGATCTTCTAGAACTGTGTAAAATGTATAAGAAAGTCACAGCATAGCAGTTCCACAGTTCTAGTTCTGCCACACATACCTTTATTTGGGCCTCTTAATATTTTGAATGTGTGTGGTGGGGGATTTGGGCCACATATGCAGTGTTGAGGATTGAACTTTGGTCAGCCGCATACAAAGCAAGCTTCTTAATCTCTGTATTTCCTCTCCAGCCCCAGTGAAGCTGCTAATATCTACATGATAGGGCTGTTATGAAAATCAAATAGTATTTAACATATATCTGACATGAGTTAGTGTTTTATTTTATAGAATCATTCAGGATATATGAGAGACCACATATAAAACAAATACAGAGTAATAAAAACAAAGAATAATATGACAGTGCTGTGTATAATCAAATACTTTAATTATGACGGGCAGATTATAAATAGTCTGGGAATTCAGAGAAGGAAAGAACAGTCTTGTGCAATAACTTAATATTCCTGTGCCTCAAGTTTTCCGGTGGACATACTGTGGATAATCCTAGGTGATATCTCAGAAGGAACTTTTTTTGGTGGTGGTGGTGTGGGGGGGTGCATGCAGGTTTGAGCTACATCTGGTGGTGCTCAGGGGACCTTATGTGGTGCTGAGAATTCAACCTGAGTCTGCTGTATACACAGCAAGCAACTTAACTCCTGTACTATCTCTCTGACCCTCCCAGAGAATGATTAAGATGTTAGAGCATTTTTAATTTTCCAGGTAGTTTATATGATGATGGTGAGAAGAGGAGAAATTTGGGAAACTGTTAGGAACCAAATTAGCACTTAACATTTTCCAGGTAGTTTATATGATGATGGTGAGAAGAGGAGAAATTTGGGAAACTGTTAGGAACCAAATTAGCACTTAACATTTCAATTCTTTTTCCTTGTGTGGCTATGGCAACCTTATAGGAAAACTTGAAGTGAAAGCTCAGAAGCATTTCTTTGCAAGAAGGTTCCTGCCTTGGTGTTTCTCCTTGTTGCCTAACTAGCTTGTTTTCTGCTTTGTTTTGTTTTGGGGCCACACCCAGCTGTGCTCGGGTTTATTCCTGGCTTCTGCTAAAGGATCATGGGTGGCAGTGCTAGGGAGAACCCTCAATGGCGCCGGGGCTAGAACCGGGGTCTGCCACATGCAAGGCAATCAGTGCCTTACCCACTGGCTCTCTGTGACTTTCCTCACTAGCATCTTAATTAGTTGAAAATTAGTGTTGGCCAATGGATGGCCTCTGATAAGTCCCTCATATATACTGTGAAGATTAAGTGATTTGTTACCCAAATGATATCTCATGTCCTCTGTTAAAAGAAAACATGCCAAGAAATAAGCAAATACTGGGGCTGGAGCGATAGCACAGCAGGTAGGGGTCTGCCTTGCACACGGCCGGCCCTGGTTCGATTCCCAGCATCCTATATGGTCCCCCAAACACCGCCAGGAGTACTTCCTGAGTGCAGAGCCAGGAGTAACCCCTGAGCATTGCCGGGTGAGACCCGCCCCCCCCCCCCAAAAAAAAAGAGAAATAAGCAAATAGTGCAGGAGAAAATTTCATTCTCCTGGGTTGCTTGTTAAGAAATTGTAAGTTACTCACCATGGGTTTTCCTCTGGAATGGGTCACTTTTACTCAGAATAGAGACTGACAAGTTGACGCTCATGGTTGTGTGTTTTTTTTTTTTTTACATATTTTAATTTCAGAAAATAAAAACGCAGAACACAACATCCAAACCTTTAGTCAGATTTGGGAGGGAGATGGCTTGAGACCCTTTGCTTGTTCTGCCTTCAGACAGAAAAGCCAGGAGTTAGGGGAAGTTTTTAGAGAGCATAGGGGCAAGGTGGGCAGGACCACCCAACTGCCACAGACAGGAGGTACTATAGAGGGCCCTTGTCTGCAGGCAGAAACTTCTTGACTCCTATCTTTTATTAAATTTTTATTAGTGAAACACCATGAGGTACAATTGTAGACTTATGAATTTTTGTGCTTGGGTTTCAGTTATACAGTGATCAAGTGCCCATCCCTCTACCACTGTCCATTCTCCACCACCAATGATCCCAGTATCCATCCCCCCCATCCCCACCATCTCATCCCCCCTTTTTGGCGGGGCATTCCCTTTTGTTCCCTCTCTCCTTTTGGGTGCTGAGGTTTACAAAAGAGTCATTGAGTGGCAGTCATGTTCCGTCTATAGTCTACTTTCAGCATGCATCTCCCATCCTGGGGGATCCTCCCAACACCCTTTATTTGGAGCACAGTGGTAGGGCGTTTGCCTTGCATGCAGCCAACAAGGCTGACCCGAGTTCGATTCCTCCGCCCCTCTTGGAAAGCCTGGCAAGCTCCCCGTGACGTATTCAATATGCCAAACACAGTAACAACAAAGTCTCCAATGGAGACGTTATTGGGCCCGCTCGAGCAAATTGATGATCAACGGGAGGGCCTTTACTTTTACTTTACTTTACTTTTCTATCAGAGCTGCCTTTCCCCCTAGCATTTGCGGCTGGCCTCCAAGCCATGGTTGACTCCTATCTTTAAACAACTTTTTATAACCACCAGTATGTAAAACATCTTTGAAATTTTATTTACTAACAGTATCTGGAAGAAACTGTTCGAACTCCTAGTTTTGGTGTGCGCTAACTCAGTTGTTTTGTTGTTGTTGTTGTTAGCCTGAGTTTGCATTTGTTTTTAATCTTGCCAGATCAACTTTCTTCTATAAAATTTCAGTATTAACTGAGGATAAAGTTGGTCATACCTTTCCCCGTGCTTTTTGGCTGGAGTGTTTCTCTTTTTGTTGTTAGGGCTGTGTTTTGTTTTTTTCCCTATTGTTTGCCAAGGTTTCACATTTATAGTGAGAGGTGAGGCAACGTTGATCTTGGCAGAACAGCACAAAGCCAGGAGAGTCATTAAGTGATGCAAGCTCTTGGTTTTTTTTCTTTCTGCTAAAGCTCTCTGGCATAGCTGGCTATTCTAGTCACAGAGGAAAAGAGGAGATGAAATTCTCTGAGTTCTACATGGAGTAATAGATGTGTGGAATATATTTAAAAGCAGCAACAAAAACAGTAAAACTCTTTAAAATAAGCTTCTTAGAGATGTGGACACTACTGTCAGCTGCTTAGAACCTGAGTTTTTACTTCAGAGAATGATGATAGAAGGCAAGGTGGATTGCTATGGATTCTTTCTTATCTGTCTGCCTCTCCTTGCAGCTGAAGAACTCTCCCAGAAGAAGCATTATAAACAAACATAAAGAACACATCCTACCCTGATCCCTGGATGCTGTTGGACCTGAGGATTTCAGCTACTTCGGGATCTTCTGGAGACAGTTCAAGAAAAGTAGAAAAAGGCAACATTGAAGGATTTTTTTCCCGCTCATATCAGACCTTAAATTTTCCATTGTTTGGAGCAAGTGAAAGTCGGCTTGGTCCTGTGGATTTAAGGATACCCAAATTCCTTCTATATTTATCATTGAAAAGTTGTAAGCTCCAAATCTTTCGGCAAAAATTCACTGAATTCTGGATCCTCTTTCTATTTAGAATTTCAGCAATAGAAACGTTCTCCACAAAGCAATTCTTCTGTGTTTTTTCAGGCTAAATGTGAATAAGAATGTCTTGGAAAAGAAACTACTTTTCAGGGGGCCGTGGTAATGTTCAAGGGATGTTTACTCCACGGAGCTCAACCTCTATTGCCCCTAGCAAAGGCCTCATCAACCAGCCTGGGCAAAATAGCTGCTTCCTCAATAGTGCCCTGCAGGTAAGAGTGAACTTTCTTTTTGGTGAACTTGGACTTTTCATTTCTGATCATCTAGATATAGATATATGACCGTCTCTGTTCAAGGTCAGTAACCTCAAATATTTTTTTCAAGTTGTCTGCAATTTTAGACAAGTTTTTTTTTTTAAATGGAAGATTAATAGTGATCATAAAAATCAAAACTGTGGGGCTGGAGCCATAGCACAGCAGGTAGGGTGTTAGTCTAATGATTTTCTACCCCTCTCCTCTTCCCAGCCTGCATGTTTGTTACTTTCCTCTTGTATAGGAAACAAACATTTTTTCTACAAGTCACGGACTCTCACGTTTCTTTTTTTGTCTCATGATATGTCTTTTCTTAGCATCCTCACTGAATGGCTTCCAGTCTTGCTGTTACTTCATTATTTCCTCCTTTGAACTTTCCTGTATGGCCTCATGATTGGTATCAGTCAGATATGCTTGAACAGACTTAGTGGAAAGTAATTCCCTTAAGGTGATTATGTACTTGAGATTTCCCTTTTCTTTGTGGCTGGGAGAAAAGCGTTCCCAAGTAGTGTCCAGGGGCTCTGGAACTGTTTTGGCAATGCTTGACCCACTGGACCAGCAGTTCAGTGCAAGGGCTGGAGAATGAGTGCTGCTCCATCCGAATGATGTCGGGGCCCACCAGGGCCACCCCAGCTGTGCTGAGGGAACTCCAGAGCCACACCAGAGATTCTCAGGTGCCTTAGAGCTACAGCCAGTGATGTTTGGGAGTTGATGTGGTGTTACAGATCAGACCTGCATACACCCTTAACCAAGTGCTAGTGTCCTGCTTCCTCGATTGTTTCCCTCTGTGGTCATTTGCCACGTTAGTGAGCTCAGGGTCTCAGTGCTTCCAGCCTGTCTGCTTACTCTGCACAGGACCATCGTGTGTTAGGGTCATTACCCTTGGCCTGCCGTTCAAGCAATTACTATGCTCTAGTTTCTGCTTAGTGGAGTAGAGGTAATTATGCGCAAGTAAAAGATTAGCTTTATATTTTTCAAACATAATGAGAAAATAAGTTGCCAGCAGAGAAAAACATATGACAATGTATTTGGTATCAAAAGTGTTGAATTTAGGAATTTTCAGATTTGTATTTTAGTTTTATTTTTGCCACACCTGGCAGTGCTCAGGGAAGTGTGGGTTATGGGGAACCGAACCTGAGTCTCCCACACACAAAGCTTGTCTTTAGCCCTTGCGCTTGCTCTCAGGCCACTTTTTCCTAGTCTTAGGCCTTTATAAACTTCATGTATATTGCTCAGAAAGTGGTAAAATCTTTCAACACGAATTCACAAGATTTGGGTAGTAAACTGTGTTAGGTAGTTTCTTTATATAAAGGTAAGAGTTTTGTTAAAGTTTTCTATGTAATAAAAGTTTCATCCTCTCGTTGAAAGAAATTTGGAAAAAATTAAAAAACTCCTATGCTGTTAAGCCTATAGAAAAGGTTTAAGTAACTATATGACATATTTCTTATAGATGGATTGGGTTGCTTGATTTTTTCAAATGTTATAAAATACATATATTTTTAGCAACTTTACATTAATTGATAGTACATTTATAATTTAGAAACTAGCAAATTTGGGTGTTAAATAAAGGGTTTGTGTATTCTTTCCCTTTCTGGTCAAAATCTTGTTTTATAATTCTGTTTCTTTACTTATTTTATATCTCTATTGTCAGGTGAAACAATACTATATCATTGACTTTCTAATTCTCAGTGCCATATGAAACACACATGTATGTTTCTGTATAGGAATATTTCATACAGAAATATACATATATGTTCCATATGTGTGTTCTGTGTCCATATTTTCAAGCTGAGTTATTTATGAAGTTTTAGAATATTTATATAATAAGTTAAAAATGATGGGTCTCATTCTCCTAAAGAGCCTTGAATATAATCTCAGGGCTAGGATGAAGGAGACGTTACTGGGGCCTGCTCGAGGCAATCGACGAATAACAGGATGATTTGTGATTTGTGTGATTTGTGAAGTTAAAAATAATTGTTTCTATGAATTAATATTTAACAATATAAAAGCTGTGCTTTAAGTCTGTTATAGTCCTTCTTTTAAATTTGTTTATTTTTGCATTGAAATCTTTATTCCTGTTCATTGATTTATTTTTGATGGAATCACCCTGAGATACACAGTTACAAAGTTGTTCATGATTAGGTTTCAGTCATACAGTGTTCCATCACTGTCCCCTTCACCAGTGTACACTTCCCACCACCAATGTCCCTAGTTTCCCTCCTGCCCTGTTATATTCCTTTTAAAAAAGTTCTGTTTACTAATATATGTTCTCTTTACATCTATTTTGAAGAACTTTAATAGTTTATACCTGAGACACACAAATAAAAAGCTCTAGAAATATGCTCTGAACTGGGACTCTAGATGTAGAGTGATTTTTCTGTTTATGATGCCATTTAAATGTTTCCTGAGCAAGAGAAGCTTCCTAAGGCATTCTTTATAGTGTACTATTTTTTTTAAACTAAAATCTATAGTTTACTTGCATTTCTTAGTTTTTCACTGTAATTTTTTTCTGCCTCAGGATCTTATCAGAGTGCTTCATTACCTTTTACATGTTGTGTCTCCTTTGGCTCTTCTTGGCTAGACAGTTTTGGAGCGATAGCACAGTGGTAGGGTGTTCGCCTTACAAGCGGCCAACATGGCCGACCCGAGTTCGATTCCTCCGCCCCTCTCGGAGAGCCCGGCAAGCTACCGAGAGTATTCGATATGCCAGACACAGTAACAACAAAGTCTCCAATGGAGACGTTACTGGGCCCGCTCGAGCAAATCGACGATCAACGGGAGGGACTTTACCTTTACCTTTTCTTGATGGGTTGAGCAGTTTCGTGGAATGCCAGTCTTTTGTAGTATCTCCTAGCACTGGAATTTATTCGATGTTTCTCATTATTAGAATGACATTTTGAGATTTTGAGAGAAAAATCCTAAAAGTAAAGCACCCTTCTTATCATCGAATCTCAGGGTCATGAATATGTTTGTTCCCATCATTTTTTAAAATTATGGTGAGAAGGTCAACAGAATATCTAAAAATTGAGAAAAATAGCATGGTAACTTTAAAAATAAAAAATTGAAAAATCTAACAATGACAAACTATAGCTTTAAAAATTATTGAACAAAAATTTTTTTAAAGCGGGAGGTGTGGGTAAAAAGAAAAATTATTGAATCACAGTGAATTGCAAAGTTACAGAGTTATTCATGACAGTTCAGGTGCATAATATTCTAACACCTGTCCCTTCACCCGTGTCCACTTCCCTCCACAGTGTCCCCAGTTTCCCTCCAGCCCCACAGCCTATCTCTATGGTAGGCATTTTATACCTTCTTTCAGTACCCTGTCCCCCACCATTCTCTCCACCATGGTCAGCTTGTATCATTCCCTGACCTATTCCCTCCTACCCCTCCTCCAGGACCAAGCCTACTTTTCATTTTTCTTTTTCATTCTCAACTGTGTTTCTTTTTTTTCTTTCTTTCTTTTTTATTTTTGCTTTTTAGGTTACACCCGGCGATGCTCAGGGGTTACTCCTGGCTCTGCACTCAGAAATTACTCCTGGCGGTGCTCAGGGGACCATATGGGATGCTGGGAATCGAACCCGGGTCGGCCGCGTGCAAGGCAAATGCCCTACCCACTGTGCTATCGCTCCAGCCCCTCTACTGTGTTTCTTTATACTCCACATATCTGAGAGATCATTCTGTTTCTGTCCCTCTCCCTCTGACTAACTTAACACAGAGTGACACTTTCCAGGTCCATCCACGTAGTGGCAAATTGTATGACTTCATCTTTTCTTACAGCTGAATAGAGTTTCCTTATGTAGATGTACTATGGTTTCTTTATGTAGTCATCTGTTCTTGGGTGCTTACGTTGTTTCCAGATTTTGGCTCTTGTAAATAGTGCTACAGTGAACATAGAAGTCATAGATCTTTTCTGCATTATGTTTTTGGGCGCTCCCTTAGATGTATTCCCAGGAGTGGAACTGCTTGGTATGTATATGGAAGCTCAATTTCTAGTTTTTTGAGAAGTGTCTATATTGTCTTCCAAAGAGGCTGGACCGGTAGACATTCCTTCCAACAGTGAATGAGGGATACCTTTTCCTGCATCCATGCTGACACAGGTTGTTCTTTTTGATGTGTGCCAGTCTCTCAAGTTTAACTCATGCATCTCCTATTTTGGGCCTCATTTGGTATATGTCATACCCTGTGTTCTGTGTGACCTACCTTTATGTGCAGATGGTTGTCTTTCCCAAAGAATATAGTCATCTATCCCATTCGTTAGAAACCTCACATTTTCCTTGACATTTTGTATAGGTATATAGTGTATATAATGTATAATGTATATATATAAAATTGTGTGTATACATATGTAAAAATGTATACATATTAAAAATGAGCTTTTCCCCCTTGAAAATAAAGGTTATCTTTTGGAGCTAGTGAAATAGTATAATGGGCAGATCTTGCCTTGCATGCGGTCAATATGGTTGATCACCAGCACTCATGTGGTCTTCTGAGCACTGTCTGGAATGATCCCTGAGCACAGAGCCAGGAATACTGCCTGATCACCACTGGGTGTGGCCCTAAAGCCAAAAATAAGTTAAAAAAAATTTTTTTTTAAAAGGAAGTTATCCAACTGGTGTTGGCACGGATGTGGCGAAAAAGGGACTCTCATTCATTGCTGGTGGGAATGCTGACTGGTTCAGCCCTTTTGGAAAACAGTATGGATGATTCTCAAAAAATTAGAAATTGAGCTCCCATTTGACCCAGCAATATCCCTTCTGGGAATATATCCTGGAGAGGTAAAAGAGTATAGTAGAAATGACATCTGCACTTGTATGTTCATTGCTGCACTGTTTGCAATAGCCAAAATTGGAAAAAACCTGTGTGCCTAAGAACAGATGACTGGTTAAAGAAACTCTGGTATATCTATAAAATGGAGTACTATGCAGCTGTTAGAAAAGATGAAGTCATGAAATTTGCATATAAGTGGATCAATATGGAAAGAATCGTTAAGTGAAATGCGTCAGAAAGAGAGGGACAGACATGGAAAGATTGCAATCATCTGTGGAATATAGTAAACGGAATGGGAGACTAACACCCAAGAATATTAGAGACAAAGTCCAGGAGGTTTACTCCATGGCTTGGAAGCAGGCATTTGCTGGGGGAAAAGGCAGCTCAGATAGAGAAGGGAACACCAAGTAAAGGGTGTTTGGAGAACCCACTCAGATTGGGAGAGAATGTAGACTATAGATCGAACACAATGGCCACTTAGGCCACTTAATGCCTCTATTGCAAACTACAAAGCCCAAAAGGAAAGAGAGAACAAAAGGGCAGGGTGGGGAGGGGGGATGGGGAAGGGGTGGTGGGAGGGATACTGGGATCATCGGTGGTGAAGAATGGGCACTGGTGGAGGGTTGGGTACTCGATCATTGTATGACTGAAATGCAAGTATGAAAGTTTGTAAGTATGTAATTGTACCTCACGGTGATTCACTAATAAAAAAAAGTGAAAAAAAGGAAGTTATCTATTATAATCATAATTTATGTTTGTTGAAATTCTGAACTTAAAATTAGTAATTTTTTATACAATAATGAAGCATTTTCCATTTTTGCCAGGTTTTATGGCACTTGGACATCTTCCGACGTAGTTTTAGGCAGCTTACAACTCACAAGTGCATGGGGGATTCCTGCATCTTTTGTGCTCTCAAGGTAAATACTTCAGATTTGTTTCTTTCTCCAGTTAAGTTGCCAGAGGATCAATATGGAGGTGGTTTGGTTATCAGGATAATTCTAAGGAATTTTTTAATAAATTACAAGCTTATAGCTTAGTGTAAAAGAAGTTTATGTTTCATTTTGCTTGCTTCTAACAATTACTGTTTGGTTTGGATACTCTGTTTTGTGAACTGTTCCCTAGATATCTTTATTTATTGTGACATAGGATTCTATTCATATTTATATAAAAATGTAAATTTTCATTAGAAGAATAAACGGGAAGGTGTTTTGTCTATTTATTTGTTTATTTTTGGGGAGAGGATACACCTAGGGTTTATACCTGGCTTTGTGCTGAGGAGTTACTCCTGGTAATGCTCAGGGAACCATAGGGGATGCTGGGGATCAACACCCTACCTCCCCCACCCCCAGGTCAGCCAAATACAAGTGGGGTATGTACGCTACTCACTGTACTATGGCCCTGGCCCCTGAGCAAGATCTCTTTTCTTTTTTCTTTTTTTTTAATGCTACAAAGTTGTTCATGTTTCGGCTTCATACAGTGTTCTAACACCCATCCCTTCATGAACAAGATGTTTTTTAATGGAATTAACTGTTGTCTTGTAAAACTAAATTGAACAAGTTTTCCTCTCTTGAAAAACCACAGTTTTGCTTTCTTGAAAAACCACTACTAAAAATTTTACATTTCTCCATTTCCTAATGTTTTCTCTGACCAGATTTAGTAGATTAGCAGTTCTTTATCTCATTGTCAGTCACCAAGTTGTTCTGTTTCTGAATAAAATAAAATAGATTTGTTTAAAGTTCAAGAAATGACTTCAAGTGAGACATTTCTGTGTATGCTGATGAGGATTGTAGTTAGAAGTTAGATACCCGTAAGAAGCCTGCTCTTTATCTGTTTAGCTGTTTTTCCTATACATGGCTTTTCTGTTTTTCCTTAGTCCAGATTTACAGTGTATTGTTTGTCTCTGGATGGGTCTGCTTCAGTTCTGCTGAGTAAGCTTCCAGAATCATATTGCAGTTTCGTTAAGTCATAATTCTTGGTTTGTCTCAGGATTACCTGGAAATAATAATTTTATGTTTAACTTAGTTGCTTCTTAGTGTAGGAATTCTGACGAAAACTGACAGTTTTATCAGCTGGTTGATTAAAATTTTCAATTATTTGACCTGTTTTCAGCAGTATTAAATTTTGTTTTCAATCTTAAGTTTATACTGTAGTTTAGGTAGCAATAATATTAACATTTATGATTTTGATATACAAAATACTGTACCTTTACCACCACCAGACTGCCCAGATCCTCATCTACTATGGTCGTTTGTCATTTCTGGCCCACTTCTTTCTTTCCCCAGCCCCTTCTCTCAAGCTTTTTGTTTTGTTTTGGGGCCATACACAGTGGTGTTCTGGGATTTCCATTGGCTCTGGACTCAGGTGTCACTCCTGGAGGGGTTTAGGAGATTGAGCCGAGTTGACTGTATGCACTGCAAGTCCTATACCCGCTGTACTTGCTATCTCTTTGGTATCTCCCCAAAGCTGTTTTTTTTTTTTCCTGGTGGGTGGGATATACCTGTCAGAGCTTGAGGGACCGTGCAATAACAGGCATCAAACTTGGGGCTCCAGCATGAAAAGCACATACTCTAGTTCTTTGTCTATCTCGATCTGCACAGGCAACATTTGACTGGCATAGGCAGATATCTTTATAAAGAGAAACCGAGTTAAAAATTTTTTTATGTGTTGTGGGACGGGGTGCTTAGGCAGTTTCAGGGCTTTCTTCCGACTCTCTGCTCAGGAATAATTTCTATAGCACTTGGAAGACCATACTTGGTACCAGAAATTAGACTGATGTGTTGTGGCTGAATCCCTGCATTCTCTCTCTGGTCCCAAAATGGAGGCTTTGGAATTTGTGACACTTAGATCACATCTTTTTTTTTTTTTTTGAATTTTTTTTATTGTATCACCATGAGATAGTTACAAAGCTTTCATGCTTGAGTTTCAGTCATACAAAGGTCGAACATCCATTCTTCCACCAGTGCACATTTACCACCACCAGTGTTCCCAGTATCCCTCCCACCACCCCTACCCCACCCCACCTTCTGCCTCTGTAGCAGGAACCTTCCTTCTTACTCTCTCTCTACTCTTGGGCATTATGGTTTGCAATACAGATGATGAGAGGCCATCATGCTTGGTCCTTAGTCTACTTTCAGCACACATCTCCCATCCCGTGCAGTCTCTCCAACCATTATTAACTTAGTGGTCCCTTCTACATCCCAACTGCTTTCTCCCACAGCACATGAGGCAGGCTTCCAAACCATGGAGCAGTCCTCCTGGACCTTGTCTCTACTGTCCTTGGGTGTTAGCCTTTAGTCTCATATTATGTTATTTTATATTCCACAAATGAGTGCAGTCATTCTATGTCTGTCCCTTTCTTTCTGACTCATTTCACTTAGCATACTATCCATGTCCGTCCACTTATAAGCAAATTTCACGACTTCATCTTTTTTAACAGCTGCATATTGTGTAGATGTACCAAAGTTTCTTTTTTTTTTTACATAATTCTTAATAGTCAGAAAGTTGGCTACTTCAAACTTACAGTATAATTTCCATCAGTGAAACAAAACTCACCTTTTCAAGTATTTACTATTTTTTAATTTTTTTTATACTTTAAAAAAATTTATTATTTCTTTCATTAGTGAAACACCATGAGGTACAGTTGTAGACTTACAAATTTTTGTGCTTGGGTTTCAGTTATACAATGATCAAGTACCCATCCCTCCACCAGTGCCCATTCTTCACCACCAATGATCCTAAGTAGCCCTCCCACCCCCATACCCCATCCCCCAACCCCACCCTGCCTCTGTGACAGGGCATTCCCCTTTGCTCACTCTTTCCTTTAGGGTATTGTAGTTTGCAATAGAGGTATTGAGTGGTCATCATGTTTTGTCTATAGGCTACTTTCAGCACTCATCTCGCATCCCGAGCGAGTCCTCCAAACACCCTTTACTTGGTGTTCCCTTCTCTATCTGAGCTGCCTTTTCCCCCAGCATGTGCTGCCGGCTTCCAAGCCTTGGAGCAGACCACCTGGTACTTATCTCAACTATTTTTGGGTGTTTGACTCCCATTCTGTTACTTTATATTCCCCAGATGAGTGCAGTCTTTCTCTGTCTGTCCCTCTCTTTCTGGCTCATTTCACTTAGCATGATACTTTCCATGTAGAACCACTTATATGTAAATTTCATGACTTCATCTTTTCTAACAGCTGCATATTGTGTAGATGTACCAAAGTTTCTTCAACCAGTCATCTGTTCTCGGGCACTCGGGTTGTTTCCAAGATTCTGGCTATTGTGAACAGTGCTGCAGTAAACAAACTAGTGCAGATGTCATTTCTACTGTGCTTTTTCGCTTCCCTGGGATATATTCCCAAAAGTGGTGTTGCTGGGTCATATGGGAGCTTCATTTCTAGTTTTTGGAGGGATGCCCATATTGTTTTCCAAAAAGGCTGAACCAGTCAGCATTCCCACCAACAATGAAAAAGAGTCCCTTTCTCCCTGCATCCATGCCAGCACTATTTGCTTTTGTTCTTTTTGATGTGTCAGTTTCTCTGGTGTAAGATGATATCTCATTGTTGTTTTGATTTGCATCTCCCTGATGATTAGTGGTGTAGAGCATTTTTTCATGTTCCTTTTGGCCTTTGCAGCTACCGAGAGTATCTCACCCGCACGGCAAAGCCTGACAAGCTACCCGTGACGTATTCGATATGCCAAACACAGTAACAACAAGTCTCACAATGGAGACGTTACTGGGCCTGCTCGAGCAAATCGATGAACAACGGGAAGACAGTGCTACAGTGCTTCCTCTTTTTGGGTCACACCTGGCAATGCACAGGGGTTACTCCTGGCGGTGCTCAGGGAACCATATGGGATGCTGGGAATTGAACCCAGGTCGGCTGCATGTAAGGCAAACACCCTACCCACTGTGCTATTGCTGCAGCCCCTATATTTCTTTTTTGAGGAAGTTTCTGTTTATTTCTTCTCCCCATTTTTTGATGGGATTGGAGGTTTTTTCCTTGTAAAATTCTACCAGTGTCTTGTATATCCTGGTCACAAAGCTCCTATTAAGCCCCTATCTGATGGGTATTGGGTAATAATTTTTCTCATTCCGTGGGCTCTCTCTGTATTTTCGTCACTGTTTCTTTTAGGGTGCAGGAGCTTCTTAGTTTAATGCAGTCCCATTTGCTTATATTTGTTTCCACTTGCTTGGTCAGTGGTGTTTCATTCTTGAAGATGCCTTCAGCCTCAACATCGTTGCGGGTTCTGCCTACATTTTCCTGCATGTACCTTATGGATTCAGGCCTAATATTGAGGTCTTTAATTCATTTTCATCTGGCTTTTGTGGTTGGCATTTGTAAGAGGTCTGAGTTCATTTTTTTGCGTGTAGCTGTCTGCCCAGCACCACTTGTTGAAGAGGCTTTCCTTGCTCCACTTTACAGTTCTTGTTTCTTTATCAAAGATTAAGTCATCATGTACTGAGAGTCAGTGTCAGAATATTCAGTTCTGCTGCATTTGTCCACAGGTCTGTTTCTGTTCCAATACCATGCTGTTTTTATTACTATGGCTTTGTAGTACAGTTTGAAGTTGGGGAAGGTGATGCCACCCAATATTCTTTTTCCCAAGGATTGTTTTAGCTATTTGTGGGGGTTTATTTCTCCGTATGAATTTGCACTCTAGCAGGAATCACTCCTGGGAGGCTTGGGGGACCATATGGGATGCCAGAGATTGAAACTGGATCAACTGTATACTAGACAAACGCCCTACCCACTGTACTATCTCTCTGGCCTCTTAAGGTTATATATGACTTAAGGTTGCATATATATGATAAAACTAGAGAACAGTGAAATGACCCTCACCCATCTCAGGATAGTGGCTGTTTTCAGAGACGGAGTGAGAGGTGATCAACTAGCGCGACTCAGCTCATCATTAGCTTTCCCCAG